CAACTAGCGCTATCGTTTAACACCCCTAGCTAGGCATAAAAAGCGAAGATAGATCTAACGAGTGCCATCTTTGGCACTAAATTCATAAGTAGCGAGATTGTGATCTCTAGGGATCTCTCCCTTTTTAGTAATGGCTAAACCTTTAGGCAAAAATTCAAGAAATTCATTGGTAGCAAAAGGTTCCTTAATGATAGAGAGACCATTGGGGAGAACACAAATAGATTTGAGGTCCGTGTCTCCCTTACTAGAAGTTTCACCTTTATTTTTAGGAACATAGATAAGCTTGGTGGTTTTTGTAGGGGGTTTTGGAGTGTTTTTCATGGGAGAAAACGCCGAACCTAAGTTGGTAATTATATCCTCAAGTTTACCAATTCTACCAGAATCAAGATCTATTTTTTCATTAACTATAGATTCTTTCGCTTTAAGATTTTTCAAAGTAACTCCAACCCTAGATTCATATTGGGTGATAAGATTATGAATCTTTTTATCCAAATTTTCAATCAACTCAACAGTGGCAATTTTATTTTCAATAATATCAAGCCATTGCATAACGTGTTCCAAAGTTAAAACAGTTCCATTAACCAAAAGAGGTGGTGGGCCAAACAAATCTAACATAGCATTATAAGCATCAAACGTATGGCTACTCATGAAATCACCTCCGGTAGCAATATCAAGAACACATCTATTCCAAGGAGTAATGCCTACATAAAAATTGCGGAGAAGAAAGAAAGTGGAAAGCTTCCTAGGAGATTTATATTGGGCATTACAAATCCTTTGCCAAGCATCTTTTAAATTTTCTCCCTCCCTTCGCTTAAAATTGAGAATTTCTTGTTCGGGAGTGATAATAAGGATAGGAGGACTAGCCATAATGACGAGGCAAACGAGAAAACACCCGGGCAACGGAAAAAGGCAAGCGAAAAGAGAGCAGGAGATTGGGAAAGACAGGGCGAATAAAACGGCAAGGGTGAAGTGGGGGAGAGGAAAACGAGAGGCAAATGGCAAATAATGTAAATACGAGGGAGATGAGTTTGTGATGGGTACTTGGTATGTCTTGACTTGAGCGAAGACCTCCTCGGCAACGGCGCCAGAAATCCTTCTTGCTACGTCTTGAGCTTGCGTTGGTTTTCCTCGAAGAGGAGAGGGTGATGCAGAAAGTGTAGCGTAAGTATTTCCCTCAGTTTTGAGAACCAAGGTATCAATCCAGTAGGAGGCTCCTCAAAAGTCCCACGCACCTACACAAACAAACTGAGAACTCGCAGCCAACGCAATAAAGGGGTTGTCAATCCCTTCACGGCCACTTGCGAAAGTGAGATCTGATAGAGATAATAAGATAAGATAAATATATTTTTGGTATTTTATAATATAGATGCAAAAAGTAAAGATGCAAATAAAGTAGATTGAAAGCAAATATGATAAGAGATAGACCCGGGGGCCATATGTTTCACTAGAGGCTTCTCTCAAGATAGCATAAGTATTACGGTGGGTGAACAAATTACTATCGAGCAATTGATAGAAAAGCGCATAGTTATGAGATTATCTAGGCATGATCATGTATATAGGCATCACGTCCATAACTAGTAGACCGACTCCTGCCTGCATCTACTACAATTACTCCACACATCGACCGACTCCTACCTGCATCTAGAGTATTAAGCTCATAAGAACAAAGTAACGGATTAAGCAAGATGACATGATGTAGAGGGATAAACTCATGCAATATGATAAAAACCCCATCTTGTTATCCTCGATGGCAACAATACAATACGTGTCTTGCAACCCTTTCTGTCACTTGGTAAGAACACCGCAAGATTGAACCCAAAGCTAAGCACTTCTCCCATGGCAAGAAAGATCAATCTAGTAGGCCAAACCAAACTGATAATTCGAAGAGACTTGCAAAGATAACTCAATCATACATAAAAGAATTCAGAGAAGATTCAACTATTATCCATAGATAAATCTGATCATAAACCCACAATTCATCGGATCTCGACAAACACACCGCAAAAAGAGTTTACATCGAATAGATCTCCACAAGAGAGGGGGAGAACATTGTATTGAGATCCAAAAAGAGAGAAGAAGCCATCTAGCTAATAACTATGGACCCGTAGGTCTGTGGTAAACTACTCACAACTCATTGGAGGGGCAAGGATGTTGATGTAGAAGCTCTCCGTGGTCGATTCCCCCTCCGGCAGAGTGCCGGTGAAGGCTCCAAGATGAGATCTCACGGATACAGAAGGTTACGGCGGTGGAAATTGTGTTTCGTGGTGCTCCTGGATGTTTTCGGGGTACGTAGGTATATATAGGAGGAAGAAGTACGTCGGTGGCCGCCCGAGGGGCCCACGAGACAGGGGGGCGCGGCCTCCTATCTTGTGGCTTCCTCGGCAGCTTCTTGACTTGCACTCCAAGCTCTCCGGATCACGTTCGTTCCAAAAATCACGCTCCCGAAGGTTTCATTCCGTTTGGACTTCGTTTGATATTCCTTTTCTTCGAAATACTGAAATAGAAAAAAAAACAGCAATATGGGTTGGGCCTCCGGTTAGTAGGTTAGTCCCAAAAATGATATAAATGTGTAAAATAAAGCCCATAAACATCCAAAAAGGGTAATATAATAGCATGGAACAATAAAAAATTATAGATACGTTGGAGACGTATCAAAGTATCAAAATGTATTTTTGTTATTTGATCATGTATATATCTGTTCTGTTGTAACAGTCGCAAATCCTGCCTCACTTGATGCTACAGGTTTATGTCTTTATTTATTTTTCACCAGGCGCGTGGAAGGGGATCAATGGTTGCTGGATTTTATCACGTGGGCTATGAAGATCCATTGCTTATGGTTATGAGAAGGAAAACTGTTCATGGTCAAAGTTTGCTAATATTATTACGCAAAAACAATCTGTTCCTTGCACCTGTTTTGCAAGCTGGATTGTACGAAAGAATATATAGAGATGAGAAGATTGTCCATTCACTTATTTCTCCTATGGAAAGAAGCATCAATGGTTTTTGCCTGTGCCTCCCATTGCCTGGGCACTTGGTGAGAGGACTCTTTGATGTTATTCTTTCAAATAAGCTTTATTCAAGTTGTTACTCATGTCACGTTGTCTATATTACAAACACATAGGTTAAATCACACTAAAAGACAATGATTTATTCTTTGGTCTGAGTCAGATTCCAAGTTGCCCACTCGGAATTTTGTGGGCTTACCCATCACAAAATGCACAGCCATCAAGCAAGATAGCACATATTATTTAACTGAAGCAAAGGCTAAGCTATTTATGCTCTGTCAACAGTTTAGTGATCTAATCTTTGGTCTGAGTCAGATTCCAAGTTGCCCACTCGGAATTTTGTGGGCTTACCCATCACAAAATGCACAGCCATCAAGCAAGATAGCACATATTATTTAACTGAAGCAAAGGCTAAGCTATTTATGCTTCATTCTTTATTTTGAACCAATGCAACTACGGGTTTGTATTTGATATGACTAAGGTGCAACCAATTGAAGTTGTTTTGAAGAACCTGCACCTGAGGATATTCTGTTTTTCATAGCTTACGACAGTCTGTAGAGTAAAGTTTGTACATTTTGTGAATCGTTTCTTTCAGTTTCACTTAGTATAAATTCTATACTTTATCAGGTCATTACTATGTGTAGATTTGCTTTTGCAATTGCTGATCATTTCCTTCTCTCTTTGCTAAGAAGCATAGTTTCAGCTTATCCCTTGGACGAGTTTTAAGTATATTTAGTTCACGTATACTTAGCATTTGTTCAGGCATTGCTCTGTGCCCTGTCGGGATCTGCCGTAGAGGCCACCATATCAACATATTTATGCTTTTTGTATAACCTGAAGGATAAACCTACTTATTAATCCTTAGTGGTCCTTTCACAGTTGTGCTAAACTTACATCCTTCTGTCAACAGTTTAGTGATCTAATCATTATTCAGAAGGGATGCTGCAAGTTCCTAGATGCACCGGATTATTAAATTCGGTGTGAGTTTGCCTTTGTACTTCACCTCACTGGGGCTCTCAATGTTGTACTATAGATAGAGACTATTAATGAAAAGTTTCTTGGTGTAATTGTAAATGATCGTTCATAAGCTTATTAGAAAACACGTATCATCAACAACCATCTATCTATCATCAATCCGTGCTTATTTCCGTATGTTTCCTTCTGTGTCTACATATTTGGATGCACACTCTTTCAATAGTTGGCTTGCTCTCGGCCTTTGCGCCATGGACGCAATGGGTCATCTAGTGTTAGAATAAAATACTAATGCAAGATCATAGACGACACACCTAGGGATAATATTTGTTAATGAGGTTCATCGATATGGCTACATCCCTGAGGTAGATGACTACGGGCGTTCCTCCCCAAGATACCGCAACACCGGCCGCCCGGGCGCCGGCACAAGCCGTTGGCTCCCCGCGTAGCTGCTGCTATCAAGTCGTCATGGGTTACAACATGTCGTGCCCCTCGATATATAAGAGGCCTAGAATACAACGTGTTCGACTCCTACACGACTCGTATCTAACCACACCAATTACAACTCCAAGTTCCTGTAACCCCTTGTGTAAATAATATTTGACACAAATATAACAAACTCCACCTTGACGAATATTCTCCACCACCCAGAAGTCGACCATGCTCGAACCTCGATGTACTCCGGACTTGGGTTGTCTTCTTTGTAGCTTACTGAGAGCCATTTCAGATCTCTCAATACAACTTCTCTTGCTCGCCACCCTCTTTCCTACATTCGCATTATGCTATATCAATTCAGCTACCACAAGCATACACCAAAATGCCACAAAATCCTCTGCTTATCATGCTCACATCGTGCTCGTCCAGCCACCATCCTCGAATGCAGGCGAAGACGCACACCACGAGTGGCATGAGTCTTTCTTGTCGATCTCGTTGGCAGGTGACTCTAGCGAGTCACGCCTTCTCTACTCCTACACCGAGGTGTTCAACGGCTTTGCCGTGAGGCTCACTGATGCTGAACTCGACATGGTGTCCAAGAAGCCAGGGTTTGTGCGTGCATTCCCAGACCAAACGCTGCAGCTAATGACCACCCACACGCCCGAGTTCCTTGGGCTAAGGAATGGCACCGGGTTTCGGAGCCAGGCTGACTATGGGAAGGGAGTCATCATTGGGCTGCTCCACAACGACATCTATGCGGCGCACGCTTCCTTCAATGACCATGGTGTTCCACCACCCCCCGCCCTCGCAAGGTGGAAGGGCTCGTGCGACGCGGCCCGGTGCAACAACAAACTTATTGGTGCCAAGTCACTCATTGCGGGTGATGATTCTGATGACGAAGAGGGGCATGGAACACACACCTCATCCACAGCCGTCGAAAACTTCGTAACCGGCGCATCATACAATGGTGTGGGCACAGGCACCGCGGCCGGAATTGCCCCGAGCGCCCACATTGCCATGTATAAGGTATATGTTGCTCGTGATTGCAAGTTATCTGACATACTGGCCGGCCTAGAAGAGGCCATCAAGGATGGGGTGGACGTGCTCTCGCTCTCCCTTGGCAGCAGCACAAGCCCCAACTTTGATCAAGACCCCATATTTATTGGCGCATTCAGTGCCGTGTCCAAGGGCATCCTCATGGTGTGCGCCACTGGCAACAGCGGTCCGAATCAGCGCTCTGTCACCAACGAAGCACCCTGGTTGCTCACAGTCGTCGCTAGCTCCGTGGACCGGAGCTTCGGCGCCAACATCCATCTCGGCAATGGCAAGAGCATTGACGGAGAAGCACTTACCCAGATAGCGAATCCAAGCTCAAAGTTGCACTCTCTCCTTTACTCCAAGGAATGGTGATACTGCAATTACGACTATGTCAGTAGCATCACTTGTAAGATCCTCGTTTGCAAGGACAATAAGTCGAGGGCTCAACTGTCCAAAATCCACAACATCGTGGGCGCTGGCGCTGCAGGCATGGTGTTGTTCAATGACGAAATCAGCGGCTACACCACCATTGTTACAGATTACAACTCCAGTGTTGTACAGGTGACTGCGGCCGATGGCGAGGCTCTCATAGCTTACATTGCGTCGACAAACAATAGCTCTGTGGCGTCTCTTGCGTACAACGATACACAGTTTGGCGTCCGCCCTGCCCCAGTCGTGGCCTCGTTCTCTTCCCGGGGACCAAGCTCACTCGCCCCCAACATCATAAAGCTGGACATACTGGCACCGGGCCTCAACATCCTTGCTGCTCGGCCGTCAAGAACGGGCCATGGACAGGGCCCTTTCAACATCATATCAGGCATATCCATGGCGACGCCACATGTCAGTGGTGTCGCGGCGCTCATCAAAGGCATCCATCCTGACTGGTCACCGGCCACCATCAAGTCCGCCATCCTGACAATGTCGGACATCATTAACGGTTCCAGCGGCTCAATCTTGGACGAGCAACATAGAAAGGCCAGCGTGTACGACACATGTGCCGGCCATGTAAACCCGTCGAGAGCTGCCGACCCTAGCTTGGTGTATGACCTCAGTGTCATTACTACGCTGGCTACATCTGCTAGCTCCTTGGTGACAGCGGCCTAGCAACCATAGTGCGCAACTCGAGTTTGACCTGTGCGAAGATGCCCAAGGTCCAGGACGTACAGCTGAATTACCCGACGATAACCGTGCCGCTAACATCGACGCAGTTCGCCGTGAACCGGACTATGACAAACGTCGGGCCAACAGATTGAACATTCAAGGCAAAAGTGGACGTGCCGAGGTCTCTGATGGTGCGTTTCGCCCCAGAGACGATGTCGTTCTCCAAAACCGGAGAGAAGAAGACCTTCAGTGTGTCCGTGAGCGGCCATGACCTGGGAAAAGAGCTCTACATGGAGGGATCCTTGAGCTGGGTATTGGAGGAGCATGTCGTGCGTAGCCCCATCGTCGCTGTCGCCACAGGAGGTGATACTGTTCCGGCACCATCACCATGAACGATGTCCATGCCATGAGATCGATGGCTGTTTTCTTTGTCCTTGCTCAATTCATTTTCTTTTTACTGTTGCATCAACATAAATAGTAATAGTGAAACAGGAATGTAAATCGTCTCATATATACCAATACGTGATGGTGTAGAGTTTGTTTTTTCTGTTTTTCTTTACGTTTTTACTGCATAATTGCGGGTCAGTTACAATTCCGTTCGCATGTTCCGCTACTCGGCGCGCCTGTGAGGCATTGGTTTCAGCTTTATGTTTCGTTACCTGAGAGTATTGTGTTCGAATGCCCACAACATCCTTTCTGAAAGTGCTAATGGCTACTGTGTGACATTATTTTGGCAATAGCAAATTGTAGCATGGTAAACTTCAAAGCTTTATACACAAATAAAAACATATTTGCTTTGGCACGATCAAAGGTGTACAACAACATTAGTATTTTCAGTGCCTATGCAGAACTGCCACTATCTGAATTCTAAATCTAAAGTAACAAGGCTCCAACATGCAAGATTGGCATGACATCCATCTTTAGCAGTCCATATAGAGACTAAAACATGAAAATAACTTCTGTTTAACATTCTATTGCTCATTAAGCTACTTCTGTTTCTGAAGCTCACCAAAATTTGGGTGGTTGATTGATCTTTTTACCACTTCTATATTCTCTAGCTTGACGGAATAGAGGTCAATTCAGGCACTAGCAGTGTGGAAGGAGAGGCACTGATTTATACATGCTTCATCGGTTGATTTTGCTGGTTGCTTTCAAACGATGGTGGCAAAGTATTTTTTGTACAGAAAGGCTCATACCATAAGAACAATTATCGCCGCCTAATGTTATATACTTTGTTATCCTGAGAAGCCCCAGTACGGAACCCATGCTTTCAACTGTAATTTGTGTATTTAATATCTATTGCTAAATTTCTCAGTATATTAGTAGTTGAATATCTGTTTTGTTTAATGTGTCAAAATTGCTTCAGAACTTTGCCTTTGGATGCAAATGGGAAATGGTTTCTTTGTTAATTTACGATAAAGAACAATAGTTTACAGATTAGAAATGCTTATGGAGATTACAATGTCAGTCATGTCATCAACATCAGATTCATTATATCATGACCGATGCACCATGGGCGCCAAGATGTTTTTCTAGTAGATCAAGAATTTCTAATGCATGTTGGGTCGAGGTTTATAGATCCATCGGATCGTGTAGGGTAGGATTAGATCCGGTGAACCTACCTTCTCCTGGTGCGGACGAGCTCAATCCAGCGCCGGCCATGATGATATGGTGATGGAGGCGATGTGAACAAAGAGATGGCGGCGGTGGTGTGCTTCCCGTGAGCACCGCGCTTACCCTAGATCAGTAGGGAGTGTTCGGTGGGGTTTCTGGCAGCGATCAACCTCGTGAGTCGAGCCCCGGCCCCCACCTCTGTTATATAACGTGGGTCACAGGGGCCCACCAACCATGGTTTGGTTGGGCGCCCCCGATCAGGGCGCGAGTCAGGGGCCCGTTCGACCCGTTAGTTCGAACGGGAGAGAGATCAACCTAACATTCTCCCCCTTGATCTCAACTTTACTTTTAACCTTATACTTTCTAGTTTATTTGTTTCATCACATATTGGTACATAAAGCATGTTTCATCGTCACAGCTCGATTGCCGATAGAATCATTCAACTACAACATATGTTTTGTTCAGAAACAAACTATGTTCCTTTTGGGCCTATCTAGGAATCATAAGGCTTTCCCTTAAACCCATGCCGGGTAAGTGTTTCTTGAACACATTGGGTGGTAAGCCTTTCGTTAGCGGATTCCCAAGCATATCCTTTGTCCTTATATGCTCGAGACTTATAGTTTGATCCTGGATTTTATCTTTCACAACATAATACCTTATCTCTATTGTTTTGGCAGCATTACTCGACTTGTTGTTGTGAGCATAGAATACTGCTGGCTGGTTGTCACAGTACATCTTTAGTGGTTTGTGAATACAATCTACCACTTTCAAGTCGGGTCAAAATTTCCTTAGCTATATCGCCTGCCCCGTGGCTGCGAAGTATGCTATGAATTCTGCATACATCGTGGATGATGCAACTATCGACTGTTTGGAGCTTTTCCATGAAATAGCTGTTAGAGAACGTAGTAATTTCAAAAATTTCCTACGCACACGCAAGATCATGGTGATGCATAACAACGAGAGGGGAGAGTGTTGTCCACGTATCCTCGTAGACCGAAAGCGGAAGCGTTAGAACAACGCGGTTGATGTAGTCGTACGCCTTCACGGCCCGACCGATCAAGCAATGAAACTACGACACCTCCGAGTTCTAGCACACGTTCAGCTCGATGATGTCCCTCGAACTCCGATCCAGCCGAGTGTTGAGGGAGAGTTCCGTCAGCACGATGACGTGATGACGATCTTGATGTTCTACCGTCGCAGGGCTTTGCCTAAGTACCGCTACAATATTATCGAGGAGGACTATGGTGGAGGGGGGCACCGCACACGGCTAAGAGATCAATGATCAATTGTTGTGTCCATGGGGTGCCCCCTACCCCAGTATATAAAGGAGCAAGGGGGGAGGCGGCCGGCCAAGGAGGAGGGCGCGCCAAGGGGGGAGTCCTACTCCCACCGGGAGTAGGACTCATCCTTCCCTTGTTGGATAGGGGAGAAGGAAAGAGGGGGAGAGGAGGAAGGAAAAGGGGGCTGCACCCCTTGTCCAATTCGGACCAGAGGGGGGCTGCACGCCTCCTTCCTTTCGGCCTCTCTCCTCTATTCCCGTATGGCCCAATAAGGTCCATATACTCCCCGGCGAATTCCTGTAACTCTCCGGTACTCCGAAAAATACCCGAATCACTCGGAACCTTTCCGAAGTCCGAATATAGTCGTCCAATATATCGATCTTTATGTGTCGACCATTTCGAGACTCCTCGTCATGTCCCCGATCTCATCCGGGACTCCGAACTCCTTCGGTACATCAAAACACATAAACTCATAATATAACTGTCATCGAAACCTTAAGCTTGCGGACCCTACGGGTTCGAGAACTATGTAGACATGACCGAGACACGTTTTCGGTCAATAACCAATAGCGGAACCTGGATGCTCATATTGGCTCCTACATATTCTACGAAGATCTTTATCGGTCAAACCGCATAACAACATACGTTTTTCCCTTTGTCATCGGTATGTTACTTGCCCGAGATTTGATCGTCGGTATCTCAATACCTAGTTCAATCTCGTTACCAGCAAGTCTCTTTACTCGTTATGTAATACATCATCTCGCAACTAACTCATTAGTCACATTGCTTGCAAGGCTTATAGTTATGTGCATTACTGAGAGGGCCCAGAGATACCTCTCCGACAATCGGAGTGACAAATCCTAATCTTGAAATACGCCAACCCAACATGTACCTTTAGAGACACCTGTAGAGCTCCTTTATAATCACCCAGTTACGTTGTGACGTTTGGTAGCACACAAAGTGTTCCTCCGGTAAACGGGAGTTGCATAATCTCATAGTCATAGGAACATGTATAAGTCATGAAGAAAGCAATAGCAACATATTAAACGATCAAGTGCTAAGCTAACGGAATGGGTCAAGTCAATCACATCATTCTTCTAATGATGTGATCCCGTTAATCAAATGACAACTCTTTGTCCATGGCTAGGAAACATAACCATCTTTGATTAATGAGCTAGTCAAGTAGAGGCATACTAGTGGCACTCAGTTTGTCTATGTATTCACACATGTATTATGTTTCCGGTTAATACAATTCTAGCATGAATAATAAACATTTATCATGAAATAAGGAAATAAATAATAACTTTATTATTGCCTCCAGGGCATATTTCCTTCAGTCTCCACTTGCACTAGAGTCAATAATCTAGTTCACATCAT